AGTTCGAGAGTTGATTCTTGAATTACACTACTTGAACCAAGAACATCGTCGTCTTCAAAATTTTGTTCTTAAATTAATAAATTATTCCATGGAGAGAAAGTTCATTTAAATCTAATATGACTCGTTTATTATTAGTAAATCTTGTATTTAAATACTATCAACTAATATTGATTTGATACAAATAAATACATTTATTTGAGAAAAATATATGGTATATTCAGTGTATTTATTTGAATAAAATATTGATTTGTTCATAGTTAACAAATTGTTCGTGAATATTTTTGTGACGGGGTTAATCGCTACCTTGCTTGCTCCTAATAACATTCATTGAGGGCGGCACTGGCGTATTATCTTGGCTTTCAGAGCCAGACCAGAGCAGAGAAAAATTTATCTTTAGGGTAGTGAGAGAAATTATGAATGGTGCTGTAAATAAATCTTAAACATAATACGTTAATATAATGACAAATTTATTTAACCAAGCCCTGAATTTAACAATAATAGGGACCGAGCCTCTAGACTGTCACGCCAACTGGTGATAGAAATTGTAAGCTAATGGGCAAAAATTTTAAACTCTTGTATGTGATTTAATGTTGATTTATTTTTTATTTAAATAAATTAATAAATTGTTTGAAATTTTTTCAACTGTAGAGTTTTGATATATCACGACATATATAAATATATCCAGTCGGAACCGTCAAATTGACAAACTTGTGAAATTTTATTATTTTTCGCTCAGTACTAGTGGTACTCCAGAGAAAACTTTCCGTGTAGCTTAAGCAGCAATTTTACTAATAAACGAGACTTGACCTTGAGACTACCCTTTTGCCAGGAATTTTCGTCAAATCCATCGACGGTAATACTTTCAGTGGCTGCGAGCCATCTTGAAGTCTAACACAAACAGCGCTTGCCGCAATCCAAACATTCCTCCTGCCAATCGTTGGAAACTGTCTAATAATACTCTGACGTAACCTGTACAGCGCAGATTGAAAACGTCTGTTGATATAAACAGGTAATTTACGTGCACTTCGAACTAACACGTCAGCTGAAATGTCCCGACGCACTTTCTTCGCTTCAAAAAACTTATTAGCAATAACCGAGAAATGACACTTAACAGCAATATCACGTGAACGCGAAGAATCAACTCCAGCTATCTTTCTTTTGCCAAGACGCTGCACAGATGAAACACAGTTAATATCAATATCTTGAAGTCCCAAAGAATTACTCAGATTCATTACAATGTCTCTCAAGTTCTCAGCGGGCATCTCAGGAACTCCCGTAACAACAAGTTAATTGGACAATTGTTGCGTTTCCAGAAGCAGTTGTCGAACTTTAATATCTTGAATCAATTTCACACTGTTTAAATTATGATCGACCTCCGATGAAACAGCAGTAGCATTTTTAACAACAGCAACACGTTTTTCCAAGTTGATATAGTCTTCACGCAGATGCTTACAAACGTCATTAAAACCATCCAATCTTTGAACAATACCACAAACCTGCATTTTGATATCTTTAATTAATCCCAGCTTTTCATTTATGCTTTGTTATATTTTTGTAGTACACTCCGGCTGCGGCTGTGGAGTAGGACAAATAGGACACCTATTTACCACAAAATCCGTAACATCAGATATTGAATCCAGAGCAAATCTTACTTTCACACATGACGGATGGAAGCAATGTTTACAAACATCACTCGTAACCGCATGTTTGCCGGTAATCAATCGAATACGGATCCCACACCAAGCTTTGTCCGTCATACTGCAGATGGGAGGAAACACTTCGATTGTTTTTTTTTCTGTGTATTTTTTCATTTTTTTAAACCTTACAGTTTTGATCTCGAACTAAACGTACATCAATATGAACAGAGCCTAAGAGCCGTTTATCAGCTCGATCACCCTCCACTCAACTCTAATTATTTAAACTAAAATAAATCAAATAAAAATAATTGGTACGGTTCTTAAAATGTAAATCTGGCGTTATCGTAACTAGTTATAAAAATTTATACACACAGAAAGGAAGCTCCGGTATAAGTTAACCGTTGCCACAGAAAGTTCTGAACATCTGTATGCTTGAGGCCCGCATTGTTAATTAAATAGAATAAATATTAGCTTAATACTTTACTTTGAATTTTCTACCGATTAATTTTCCCGATGTTACACAACATCAATATTAATCCATTTAATTTTAAGCAAACTCATTTTAATTAACTTTTTTTAAAAATATAAAATCCTTTTTTAAATGAAAATATTTAACGTAAGAAAATATGTGTGCGCTTCCGGGTAAACATTTTCTTGGTAACGGAAAAAATAATATCGAGAAATAAATTCCCTTGATCCCAACACAATGATGAAATAAGAGATCTATTTCTGTCGACGAATCTTGGGCAGGTATACGTTTTCCAGCTTCATTTTATTACATCTCGTCTTGAAAAATCTCCGGAGAATATATTGTTTATTATTTACTGTAAAAGATCTTATAGGGTATGTTGTGTATAAAACTTATATGAGCTATCGATAATGTTGAATGAAAAAACAACTGCCCGGGGAAAACGGTTTAGATCTGACCAGATATAATTATATCTGATCAGATCTGATTATATCTGGTTAGATCTATTTATATCTGATCAGACATGGGATTGGAGACATAATCAGATCTAGTTATATCTGATCAGATCTAAACAGATATAACTATATCTGAGTTGAAAAATTCATCAGACATGATCAGATCTAGTCATATCTGATCAGATATAAACAGATATAACTATATCTGAGTTGAAAAATTCATCAGACATGATCAGATCTAGATCTAGTCATATTTGATCAGATATAAACAGATGTAACTATATCTGAGTTGAAAAATACATCAGACATGAACAGATATAGTCATATCTGATCAGATCTAAACAGATATAACTATATCTGGGTTGATAAATACATTAGACATGATCATATCTAGTCATATCTGATCAGATCTAAACAGATATAACTATATCTGAGCGGAAAAATACATCAGACATAATCAGATCTAGTCATATCTGATCAGATCTAAACAGATATAACTATATCTGGGTTGAAAAAAAAATCAGACATAAAAAGATTTGATTATATCTGGCCAGATATAACTATATTTGTTAACTATTAATAAATACTTATAAACTATTTTACTAAATATACTTTCCTCCCAAATAAATATTTATTGAATGTTAAAAAATATTTATTAGAATTTAATAAATTAAATAATTGTTTTCGAATAAATTAATTATATTGATAATTAATAATTTGCAATAAATTTGATAAAAAACTTTGTTTATTACCCATCGATCATGGACACGATTCACATTAACTTGTACCCGGGAAAAACAGATTAGATCTGGCCAGATCT